CTTCCTTCTGAAAAGTATTGCATATGCAGGTAGACTTGACGGAGTACATTGAGAAACATGAATTTGTCTTTGATGCTGTATTGAATGAAGGCGTTTCAAATGAAGAAGTAAGTACGAGACATGGATGAGTACCATTATGAAAACCATTTAATTTCTAAACATTCTCTTTTGTTGTTGTAGGTATACTCGGAAACTGTGGAACCCATAGTTCCTCTTATCTTTAACCGAACAAAAGCAACTTGCTTTGCATATGGGCAAACAGGCAAGTTATCAAATTCTCTGTTTCATCAGTGTCAATATGCTTAACTTGAAATACTTAAATGTGCTTGTCCAGGTAGTGGAAAAACGTATACTATGCAACCACTGCCTCTAAAGGCGTCTGAAGACATTTTAAGATTAGTGTACCACACACATCGGAACCAGGGTTTCCAATTATTTGTCAGCTTCTTTGAGATATATGGTGGGAAACTTTTTGATCTCCTCAGCGATAGGAAGTAAGTTTTGTTGAGATTGTAGCAGAAAATGTTTGAGTTCAGTTCATCCGTTTGAATATATCATCGTCTTGCAGAAAGCTTTTTATGAGGGAAGATGGGAAGCAACAAGTATGCATTGTGGGGTTGCAAGAATATAGAGTGTCTAATGTCGAGACAATTAAGGAATTGATTGAGAGGGGAAATGCCACAAGAAGCACTGGTACAACTGGTGCAAATGAAGAATCCTCTAGATCACATGCTATACTTCAACTTTGCATTAAGAGATCAGTCGATAGTTCCGAATCAAAGCCTGCTCGACTTGTAGGAAAGCTGTCTTTTATCGATCTTGCTGGAAGTGAACGTGGTGCAGATACTACAGATAATGATAAACTGACAAGGTCTAAATTTTCTTTCCAGAAAACTGATTGCTATTATTATATAATGGGCCTTAGAGTACTCTATGGACCAGTCTGAACTAAGAAGCAGAAGATATAGAGTTCTTTCACTCTCTTATGTTGTAGTGATGTTTTAGACTGACTAGGAAATATTTGTGTTGCAGAATGGAAGGTGCTGAAATCAACAAGAGTTTACTTGCTCTCAAAGAATGCATTAGAGCTCTTGACAATGATCAAGGTCACATTCCTTTCAGAGGCAGTAAACTCACTGAAGTGCTCAGAGATTCATTTGTTGGTGACTCACGCACAGTTATGATATCATGTATTTCACCAAGCTCAGGATCATGCGAGCACACTCTCAACACGCTAAGATATGCTGACAGGTGTGTTATTTTCTGAGATACTACAGTGGTATATTCCATTATTTGTTTAATATGTTTTACGATTTTCCCCTCAGGGTAAAGAGTCTATCTAAAGGGAACAACACAAGGCGGGATCCTTTATATTCATCTTCAAATCTTCGAGAATCAACAGCTTCTCTATTGTCTTCCACATTACCCACCGAGCCAACCTTTGAGGATAACAGAACTTATTTACCGAATGAAAAGAACAGATTCGGTTGGTCCAAACAGAATGAAAGAGAAGGCACTCCACCACTGAATGTAGAGCGTGTTCCTAGCAACAGGGCAGACATAACTTTGCCTCATCACAGAAGTCAACGAAGTTTTCAAGATGACTTCACTGAAGATGATTTTGGTTCCTCTGAACCAAATTATGACCAGGAAAAATGGACGAACAATAAAATAACTGAAACTCGACAAGTTTCAAGCTTTATCAATCCGAAGAAAGCTACTAATGAAGTGAACCAAAGGGATATTCCTGATTTTGAGATCGATTCTCATTCGAATGATGACCTTGATGCCCTTTTGAAGGTAATAATATTGTAAATATAAAGCACCAAACTTCCTCACAAATCATACAACTTGAAATGACATCCTACTTTTTTTTACATTAGGAAGAAGAAGATCTTGTTACTGCTCATAGGAGACAGGTGGAGCAGACAATCGACATTGCCCGAGAGGTTTGCAACCCTCTAATTCTCTGTTCTCGTATACATGGTACTCGTCTTCTTTGGGTCTGCCCTTTTTAGACCTTTTGTAATCTTGGCTGCATATACAGGAGATGAACTTGCTTGTTGAAGCTGACCAACCCGGAAGCCATTTAGATGACTACATCCATAAATTAAATGTAATTCTATCGCAGAAGGCCGCAAGCATTTTTCAGCTGCAGACCCGGTTGGCTCAGTTTCAGAAACGTTTGGATGAATACAACGTTCTGGTGGCCCCCTCCAGCAACTGAACCAAACCTAGATACAGACACCTCCATTTTTTCGCCCTCCAAATCCTTCTTTTGCACAGGCCCGAGGGAACTGGTCCTGCTCGAGCAGAGCTAACTATCATTCATATGAAATGGTTCAAGTTTTTCCCTCAGAGGTGGTTTGAGTTTTCTTTGATTGTATAGAAGATTTTCTTTCCTGTCCATAGTTTTTCTATTCATGGTCAGCTGTTCTCTCCCTCTGAGAATGAACAAACTTATACAGATTCTTCTGTAGGACCCAAAAGTAACCACAAGTGCTTTTGCAAATTTCAGTTTGATCTTATAAAAGACTGTTGATATTATAAATCATCTCATTTATTCGAAGTTTTTATTTACAACACTACACCCATGACCCATAAAGAGAGACATTAATTTTTGAGTTGAGTTACACCAATTGATTTGACTTCAGGACCTGGCAATCAAATAAATGTTTGTTTGTTCCTCTTGCTCTCTTTTCTGTCTTTTTATGTACAAAACTAGAAGATTACCTATGATTCTGCAACCTTTCCTTTCCTCAAATCTGCTTTTTAAAGATATTGGGAATCTTCTCAAAATCCTCTTATGGATTCTGCTTACCGACTTAGCAATAATGAAACCTGCAAATAAAGTCGGCCAATTAGGTAGAAATTCACTCAGTCACGTGCAGTAAAAAATACAAATCTAATATTATTGACTATGGAAATGTGTATGCAAAACTGGTGATTTTTTGGAGTTGTTTATCGAACTTAGACTTTAAGCGAGACATAATCAAGCTTTAATCACCACATCAGCGGCTTAATCAATCTGCTTCACCATTAGGATTGGCTCTATCTTTGACTAAACTCACACAGAAGAGTCTCGATTTCATGCATCTCCTAGAATTTGCAAGAAGCAAGTTTGAATATAAACCCATTTTCTTCCCAAATCGAATTTATTATTATTGTACTATTTCTAATTTGACCAAGTGGTATGATTAAAATTTGTGATTAAGATTTACGTACGTCATGTCGATTAATAAATTTGTCTCATTACAAAATTTGATTGATTATGTCCGGTTCATTAGCATTGTTTTTTGTTACTAGTTTTAAAAGATAAGAGTGCTCGCTAATAACTTCTTTATAATTTCCTTCAAAAAAAAAAAAAAAACTTCTTTATTATTTGTCTTATTAACATAGATAATAATAATAATAATAATAAAGCTTTTGAAACCTTAATTTAAAATAATAATAAAGGGAAACTATATTTCTTTAGTCTTTTTGAAATTTGAATGGCTTGTTTTGTTAATAAAGAAGAAAACCTTACACCCTTGAAATAAGGACCAAAAAAGTAGCTTGTTCTTTTTCAGGGCGATGAAATTATGATAGAGTCCTCTTTTATTCAATATTAATTTTTAGACCTTCATGGTCTAAGAAGCTACAACTACCAAAAAAAAATACAATTAATATAAGCAAAGATAACTCAATTGATAAGACACTTATTATCATTCGTAAGTTTAATTGTTCGATCGGTCACTCTTTTAACAGTTGAACTAAAAAAAACTATAACTTATATGTTAATTAACTTTTTCTATGAATCAATGAGTCCGACATCAATAAAAGGGAACAATATTATTCTTTTAGACAATCCTAAAAATGTTGAAGATATTAGATATATCAAAATAAAAATACTAATAACACGTTCTAAAAAAAGTCAATAAAAATATTAGAAATACAATACGTTTTTTTAATAGAATATGTGTAGATATGGACATTTTCTCAAAATTTCTTCACTTTTAACTCTTTAGGTATAGGAACTAACAAAAGAAAAGGAGAAAAAAACTTGCAAATAGCAGAGTAGTCAACCTGAATCTAATTCAATTGGTTAAACACTCATTTTGGATTAGGAGGTAGTGAGTTTGAATTCCCACTCTCATATTCTACTGGAAAAAATAGTATCTAATTTCAAGAGTAACCTTCTTTGATTATTAAAAAAAAGGAATGCACATACTTTAATGCTTAATATAGAGGGGTTTTTTTTTTTTTTGACATAATATAGAAGTATTTACTAAGTAGCATAAAATAAATTTGAATTTTTGAAATTCAACCCTATGTAAACTCAAAAACACACCCAGGAAAGTTAAACTTATTTACATTTATAAATAATAATTATTATTATTATGTGACATTTTAAATAATTATTATTAGCAACCTAATTTCGCTAAATAATATGTCCTCTTGGAAGGCTGCTTGCTAAATTCTAAAAACTAATATATATATATATATAGTCACATTGTAGGCATAAAAAAAAGGCACTTTCCTTTAATAAACGAAAATAATTATAATAATAATCTATGGATCTTAAGAATTATCAATTTTAAAATTTCCCTATTCTTGTTGTTTTGTCAATTATTATATGTTATGACCTTTTGCACTTTGCCTAGCATGCAGGTCAAGTACAATATTTTTCTAAATTAGATCTGAATATTAAATAAAGTAGTTAGTTTATAAATTAGGTAATCAAATGGATCTTATCTTGCTATAAATAGCAAGAAAACAATCACATATTCAATTATTTAAATTTTGTTGTAAAATTGAGGAACGGCAACGTCGGGGAAATAAAATAAACAAAACAATTCAAATAATAAAATAAAATTCAAAATTTAAAATGGCATTTCCCATCAATTTTCAAACTTGATTTCCCACCAAATTTCTCACTAATTTCTCACCACTAATTTCTCACTAATTCTCCCTTACAATGAGCACCACATTGACCTTATTTATAGGCCATGGATAAGTGTGATTTACATGACACTAATAATGTCTAAAATTGAGACATATGGGGCATTAGGGTTTTCACACATGGTGCATGGATAATGGAACATATGGGGTTATGAATAAAAAACACATAGAGGACCTATGAAGCATGGATTATGAGACACCTCAACAGGGGTTAGTGGACATCTATTTAATTTAAAAATTCATAATAAATTTAAACTAAAGATTTATTTTCATTAAAAATATCAAATATATAAATAGTAAATACATTTCAAAATCCTCAAAACTAATACCAAAATATATAAAGCATCAATCATCTTCTTTGAAATTGAAAATTTGATCTTCTATTCTCACAACTATTGAATTAAAAAAAATAAAATTGAAAACTAAAAAACTATATTGTAAGTAAAAACTTAATTAAAATTAAAATTAAAATTGAAAAGTCTAAAAATTGATAACTCAAAGATTAAAGTTATTGAGAATAAGATATTATGACGTGATTACTTTATCTGGCTATATTTTTGTCATAATTGACTTAACCTACCAGGTCCAAAATTCTAATTTACTTAACCTCCAAAGTTCATGAATATAAAATTTTCCTTAAATTTAATAGACTTGAAAATGAATGACATGGTTTCAATTAAAATATGATCATTCTAGAGAATGGTGAAAAATGACATTCAAAACAGAGGTAGACTTTGAAACTCAGGTTAGCCTAGATCCAAATAGTATTTAGTCTCGAACGGAGCAATCAATTTCGTACACCTGCGTATGGAATGCGCTATTGACGTTGATTCAACAACAGTGAGGTAGTGGGTGAGTTAAACAGTTATATATTAATTTGCTTAGAGAAAGTTGGATCGAAAGTCTAAAGATTTACCAACATTTCGAAACAACAGTAATAGTACAAAGCATTATACCTGAATCTACAAGTCAATGCATTAATAAGACGTGAACATAATAATATTTGGCGGATGAAAAAAGTAACAGTAAAAAAATAGGATTATTGAGGAAAAAAAGTGCGTATAATTGAGTTGGATAGAAGGAGAAAGATGGAGAAAAAAGGTAAAAAGATTTAAAAGGGGAATGTGAAAGAAAAGGTGGAAGGCGACAAGAGGTAAATAAGATCCTGTATAAATGGAGACAGACAAGCCCAGTAATCGCACATAAACCTGCTCCCCAGCTCAAAACACCACTTTACAAAACGCCCCCATTATTTTTCCATTTTTTTAAATATTGCCCCAATACGTGGCCGCACATAAATCCACCACGCCTTCACGCATACACTCACCGGTCAGCGCCAACGCACGTGTTCGTTTGCCCTAAAGAAGGAATCTAAGCCGCTCTTTACATTGATTCAGGTTTTTGTTTTATTTACTCTCTTTTTTCATCCTGGAACGCCCTCTTCCACGCGCCTCTCTGGCGCGTGCTCTAGCATTGTTATTTCTGATTTTTTATTTTAATATACTATCAAGGAACACCTTTTAGCAAATAGCGATGCCACATAAAAAGGGAGGGGAAAGCTGTAGCATTTGGCAGGATATTTGATAGAGAAAAAAAAAAAAATGATCTGGTGGAGCGTTGGGCGTGATATTATTGTAATGGTAAATATCTGAAATATTTAAAAGGGAATTTATATGGGTAAAGTATAGTATGGTGACTGGCAGTGCGCGTGGGGCAGGGTGGTTTTTGTGACAAAATATCTAAGTATGCAATGCTTAATGAGGAGATTGGCCAATGGATGAAGAAAGGCAGAGTTGGAGTGTGGGTCCCGCTACGCTACAGTACGGGCGTCCACTTATTTATATAGGGTGCACCCTCATCTTCTCCAAAAAAGGAAAACCGCCGCTTGGCTTCGTTGTCGCAGTGCATATGGGATGGAGGGCAATTGCTCCATTGTGGCGCCCTTCGTTATGAAGACTTATCAAATGGTCAACGATCCCCTCACCGACGCTTTCATTACTTGGGGCTCTGCCAGCAACAGTTTCCTCGTCGTCGATCCTCTCCACTTCTCCCACACCCTCTTGCCTGCTTATTTCAAGCACAATAACTTCTCCAGCTTCGTCCGCCAGCTCAACACCTACGTATGTAAATTTTTTCAATTTACCATTTCTGATTTTGATTTTGATTTTGACTTTGATTTTCGGGGTGCAGGGGTTTAGGAAGGTAGATCCGGATAGATGGGAATTCGCGAACCAGTGGTTTCTGCGGGGCCAATTTCACTTACTCAAGAACATAGTCAGGAAAAAACACACCCCCAATTCCAATTCCAATTCCAATTTGAGCTTTGTGGGGGATCACGACGAGGAATTAGCGAGGGAGATTTCGAGGTTGAGGAAAGAACAGAGGGCTCTCGAGGAAGAATTGGAGGGGATGAAGAAACGCCTCGAAACTACTGAGAAACGCCCGCACCAAATGATGACGTTTCTTCACAAAGTGGTGGAGGACCCGGAGATTCTCCCGCTCATGATGCTCCACAGGGATCCGGCCGCCGCCGATAAGAAGAGGCGCTTCATCGTATCCTCTTCTTATTCCTCCTCTCCCTCCACCACCGAAGACGACGCCGAGCCCAACCCCGGGCCCAATTTTTGTTCGCCGGACACGGGCTTCGACGTCGATAACTTTGTCCAGTCCTCGCCGGCCGAATTTTGCGGTCACCTCCCTTGGATTATGGAGCAACCGAATCGCTCGATGGAAGGGTTGGGGTTGACCCACTGCACGGCGGTGGCGCCCATGGAAATTAGTATCGGCACCACCGCGGTGGAGGAGACTCATTCGCCACCGCCACCGCCACCGCCTTATCCATTTTCTCTGTTCGGATGTGGCTTTTAGTTAATTAGTTGATTTGATTCACATGATTTCTATTTCTCTCTCGCATTTTATCTCCTTTCTCCTTCTTTATTAATAATTCCCCCTTTCTTCTTTCTTTTTTCTTTTTTCTTTTCCTTCTTTTCTCCCACCCTCTCTAACTTAAATGTGTATATATTTTCTGTCCACTTTAATTCTGGAAAAGAAGTATCTTTTAAATAAAAATAAAATAACAACATGAACAATACAAGGTTGTTCAATAATTATTTTATTTTAAAAATTAAATTCCTTTACTATATATTTTTAATAGCATCTTTTATCCTAACTATTTTATAGCAAAAAACAAAAAGGTCAAAAAAATTTATTTGAAGTGTGTGTATATATATATATATATATATATATTGTAATTTAGGCGAAGATAAACATGTTTCTAAAAAATAAAATATTAGAAAACAAGTTTTTTTAGTACTATTATAAGCCTGTTCCCTTTTTTTAAGTACAATAAATCAGGATAGGAGGTTGAACTTTTCAAATAAAATGTCTTTAACCTTGAAGTATGTTCATGTTGTCATTCTAAAATATTCAAATTAAATATAAAATTTATTATCTAACATGATCCAAAGTATACCTCATATTAAAGGTTGTTCATAATTATATTTTTTTTTATAAATTTCATGATAATTAGTTTTATAAATAATTTAATATTTTTTTTTAAATTAAGTGGGATCTAAATAAATTTTTTCTTTAAAAAAATATAATAAAATGTTTTGTTCGCTTAGTTAGTATTTGAATGTGTGAACTAGTTACCAATCATTTATAAAAGAACCTAAAATTGTTTTACTTTCATAATTAATGAACTTGTTTATGTTGGTTTCTAAAAAGTAAAAACAAAAATTCCTCGAAAGAGAAAAAAAAAATAAAAGTCAAGACAGAAACTACGATAATCTTTTCTCATTCTATTTTTATTGAAGAACAGAGTAATTATTTTTGTTATTTTGTTAAATAAAATTTGAAGTTAAAAAAAAAATAAAAGTTTCACTTGAAAAAAACTTTTTAAAATAGAATATTCGAAACAATTATGTAACGTTTAATTCTTTGTATATTTATAGTAAATTTTATAAGTAAAACTTAATAAAACAATATTTTTATTTACACTTTGGAAAGCTTAATAAATAATAAATAAAAAAATCAGATATAGTTTTTCTAAACTGGGTATATAACTTTAGGGAGAAAAATAATGATAAAAACAATAATCAAGACATAAATACTATATATTTTTTATAACTTAAAAATTAAAAAAAGAAATTTGCCCAAACGAGCCATGAAAACAGGGGGTGCAAGTTTTTGGTAAATTAGTCAAAATTCATATGATTTCATAATTCTGTTTCAATTAAAGTTATGAAGACGTTGCTCTTGGAAGTGGGCGAGGAGAGGATACTGTCCCATTTAGGGCCATTTACATACTAGTTACCTAATCATATTTTATCCTAAATTTAGAGTGATAAATTAGAGGAATGGAAGTGATTTTTACCATAATTCTTAATATCTAAATATCTAATTGTCCAAATTCAAATTTTGATAATTATATTTTAAGTGGGAAGATTCGAACTCACGATTTATAATCTAACCTAAATACTTTAATTCGTTGAAAAGTATACTCATGGTCCCGAGGATAATTCATGTTGTTCATATTTATTTATGTAAGGAGTACATGAGATATTGAGTTGTGGTTTTCAAATAAGTGAGAAAATAAAGGTAGTTAATACTCTTACCAAAATATGTACCTTAGTGTCACCAATTCATAAAGTACATGTCACACTCCACTATGTTTGAAGCCTTTCATCAACGAAAGAAGATTTTACGTCCACGTCAAATATAGTAAATTGAAATCTTCTTAAAAATAAAAAATCTGTGAAATTATATTTAGACAAAATTTTTAAACAACTTGCTTCTAAGGAACTACTTTCTTCTAAAAATAATATATTTTTTCCTTCTTTTGTTCTTTTAAGACTTTTCATGGTTCATATCAGCACATGGTGCATTTTCTTAATTATGGTGTCATTTTCTTCGTGAGACTCTTTTTGCGAGATATGAATATCTTCATCTCTTACAACAATTATTAAAGTTATATATTTGGGAAGCTTATCACGAACTGTGCAGAGTCCGTGTCTTTTATAGTTTTAACAAATGGTGCTTTGGGCCAAGATTTCTTGTCTAAACGGGGCTCATACGAGGAGACCCTTTGTCACTTATCTTTTCATAATCTGTGCAGAAGCACTCTTAGTCTTGATCAAAAGACAGAGGAAAAAAGGAATGTTACATGTTTGAAAATTAACAATCGATGCCCGCTTGTTTATCATTTATTTTATGCAGATGACAGTTTGATGTTTTTTAAAGCTTCTACAAAAAATTGCAAGGCCATCAATGGGGTCCTGAAAACTTATGCAAATACATTTGGACAATGCATAAATCTAGAAAACTCCATGTTCACCGTAAGCAAGAATATAAAGGAGGAGTTGGAAGTGGCTTTGTACAAATAAATATCAAAGGGGTTTGGACTTTAAAGATATCAACATCTTCAATCAAGCTATGCTAGCAAAACAAAGTTTGGAGATTTCTGAAGGATCTCCACAGCCTCATTGCTCAAGTGTTAAAAGGGTAGTATTACCTTCAAAGAGACTTCCTCAAAGTCGAAGTAGAACAACCTGTCTTTTGCATGGCGAAGTATTATTTAGGGGCGGGACCTTTTCAACTAGGGCTATCGTTGGAGAATTAGACTGGGAATTGGAGTGGATGTTTTGGACGAGCCCTGGCTCCCGAGGGAAGAAAATTTCAAGCCTACACAAGGCCATGATTCAATGACAAATTCCAAGATTGCGTCTTTATTGAGGGAACCAGAGTGTGGAATGAGGATTTAGTTATAATTGGTCCTTAATATTATCCTTAGGAATAGCACCAATGATGAGATCATTTGGGGCCTTGATAAGAAAGGAATCTTCAAGGTCAAGAGTGCTTATATATTGGAGATCAATATGCACGACTTAGGATTAGCCTCTTCCTCAAACCAAGATTTGCTTGGGTGTAGGTGGTAGAGGTTTTGGAAAGTACAAGTCGTTCCCAAAGTAAAGTTGTGTTGTTGGAAGATTATTCATCATATCATTCTAACCTCAGCAAATCTGTGTATCAAAGGAGTTTTTACCAACAAAGGGTGTCCGCTTTCCAAAGAGAGAGAGAAGACCACCATCCACATGTTTTCGAGCGGTAGGTTTGTTAGAGATCTATGACTAATTTTCTTGGAGATTAGCGTTCACTGATAGGGCAGATTGGAAACCTATGGATTACTTCGACCGGAGACTCAAACCATTTTACAGGACATAAAGGACTCATTCTACCTTGGAGTATTTGGACGTCTAAAGACTAGATTTTTCACAATGTCATTGAAGATCCATGCTTTTAAAGACTGGTTGATCTAGTTAATGGCAAAATAAGAGAGATTGACAGGGCTCGAGAAATGAATCTGGCTACTGAAGAAGGGGCGAGTCCGACTGCGCCTATCAGATGGAGTCTGTCACCCCACTTGCACTGGAAAATTAACACTGATGCGACTTGGATGGACTCGTTTAATGGAGGAGGAATTGGTTGGCTAGTTCATGATTGGAATGGGTGGCTCGTTACAGCTTGTTGTCAACACCTGAAAAGGAAATGATCCATTAAAGCCCTATAAGGCCTAGCAATAATGCTGGAAGGTCTTAGAGCGTTGAATCAAATCCTTATTACCAACTATGGAGTTCAAATCATCGTGGAATCTGATAGTTTTGACTTTAGAGATTATTAACGTCATCAAAGCATATTATGACATCACAGAGATAAAGTTGATTGTCGACAACATTAGGCGGGAGGTTGAAATGACTGCTATCGAGGCTTACTGTCATATTTCGACAAGTGAGAATGGTGCAGCTCACGATTTAGCTAGAACAACAGATGAGAAGAGGGTTTCTTCTTGTTGGCATCACCTTGACCTTCTTCTTATTGGCATCACCTTGGGCCCGCCTGGTTTTCCGATTTGTTGTCTTTAGATTTTCCCTTTGTTTAATTTGTTATTTGCCTGTGTCAAATAAGAAAAACCTATATTTGGTTAAACATTTTCTAATAAAAACATACTAGACAATTTGGTCGTCTGTTTCAATTATTTTACTTTTAAATTATTTATTTATTTTGTCTTTTAGTTTTTATAATCCTAGTATTTGTCCATATCATTAAAATTTTTATATTATATTTAATAATAAATCTTAAAATCAACCTTGATATCAAAGTTGAAATAGAATAATATGGATAAAAAATAAGTCGGTTTGCATGACTAAAATTTTCCATTGAACATCAATGATGGATTTAAAAATTTCATCATGGGAAGCATTTTCTTTTAATACAACAATAATATGTAGGGTGGATATTCACACTCACAACTTTTGAGTTGAAGATAGATACCATAGCCAATTAAATTAAGTTCAAAAGTAGACTTATTTTTTACTCGATAGGTAAATAAAGTTTTACTATTGGAATTTGAACCCATCTTCAACTATTATATTTAAAATGACACTTAAATCTGTAACATATATGACGTAAGAACCTTAATTTTTTTTTGGGATAATACAATTTTTTTAATGTTTTAGCTACCTGCATTATAATATAAAATTGAAAAGTTACACAAGGGAAAAAAAGTTTTTAAATTACTCTTAGTCACACCAAATAAATTAGTATGTTTTTAGTTAAAAATACATCTTGAATATAATAATTAAGATTATATCATATGCCAAGTATAGCTCAATATTAAAACATCTTCCTTCTTTGTAGATTTGAGGTTGAATCTCACATCTCCATATTTTTTACATTAAAAAAAGACATAGGTAGAATTATAAATTAAATCTCTACGATCGATCCATTAGTCAGAGCTATACATATCTATTTTTCAAAAAGATCATATTTCATAATTTAGTGAAAGATAAGTGGGTACATATATTTTTTATATTACATTTTTAGACAAAAATTTAGAATGAAAAACACGTATTATTAAGATTTATCCAATCTAATATTGAATATAATTCACTGGTTAAAAAATATTATCCTCAGTCAGAAGTTTAAATTATTTACCTGAAAGGAAATTTAAATGTTAAATTATGAGAAAAAAGAAGAGGTTATAAGACGATGGAGAGGCGACGGGGGATTAA